ACAACTACGTTTACGCAATTGTAGAATGGCTTTAATGTACATATTTAAATATAATTTCTTTGTGTCCGTGGGATTTTAATTATAGTTTGTTCCAAATTGAATACATTTCGCTTTCCTCCATCAGAAAAAATGCTCATTTCTTTAATATATGAGTGTTAAAGTATGCATTGATTTTTTGAGTCGATTTAAAAATGTCCGCTTTAATACGTTCATTTAATTTAAAATTAATTGATCGTTAGACTTTATTACGTGAACCATTGCGCTATTAATATATTTGGGATATTTGCGAAGAAGGGTAGCGTCTACGTGCTTCACTGCTCGACAATTATCTGGTTGTAACTTCTGCACGATGGTCAAAATCTGGATGATGACTTGGTAGGGTCGAATTAGGACCGGAGGGTTATACGCGACACCCAGATGTCGCGACAATTAAAACCGGGCTTATTGTCGAAGTTCTGCCGTCACAGAGTCTGCGTTTAATTCGCCCACAGTTTTTCGTCATAATTTTAGGAAATACTCGTAAAGTGCGTCTTTGCGCGGAAGATACGTCATTCCTACTAATAGGTTCATTATTAAATTTTCTTTCGGCGAAACCAGTGAAGATAAGTTTCTATTAGCAGAACTTACTTTTCATTTAAAAATCTTTCAAAAAACGTAGAGGCTGTCGGACAATGATTCGATAAAATTTGAAATAAATAACAATATATAATCCGTACAAATACGCCATAAAAACTGCAATAAAATATATTTCTTAACATATTCCGCTGGAATTTTTTCAGTCTAAAACTGCAGTAGAAAATAATATCGCATATTGTCATTTATTATATACTAACATGTTATATAAATATTCGGTAAAGTAAACTATATCTTTTTTATTTAAAGAAAAAATAGGGCAAAGGTAATGCTTTTGTCAAACAACAAAATTGCCGTAGAAAATGTGCTCGTACATATTTAAATAGAATGGAGAAGGAGACTCCGAAAGGGACACGCAATTTTATGGGATAGCTTTAGTAGCGAAAAGTTAGAGCGGTAATTAAGTCGAGTCTCCTATTATTCCTTGCTCTAAATTAATTTGGAAATTAAGAACCTTATTTTTACGGTAATAGGCAGATTAGATCGTGGAAGAAGTTGCAACTGCGAATGTCCTTCACTTTATATTAGTAATCTTGCTCTTTTTCAATTATTATATTATAAATAAGCAATGAACAAAATTGACGCACAATAGAACAGTATTAATCAAATTTCATTTATATTAAACTTTCTTTCGGCAAAACCAGTGGAGATAAGTTTCACTTGGTAAAAGTTATTTTTTTATTAAAAAATCTTTAAAAAAATAGTGGTCAAAAACGGTTTAATGAAATTTGGAATGAATAATAATTTATTCAACAATTTGTGTAAGTCGTCTGCAAATTTCGCAAGTATTTTATTTGCTTCAGTATACAAGAGAGATGATACTTATTAATTACTAGCGCTGGACAGTTGATAATTCTTTTGCTGATACCGATTCTGCGGACCTTTGTTCTCGATAGGTACGTAACTTTACGTATTAAGAGAGATTAATGCCGACTTTAAACGACATAAGAGTGGTACTGGCGTTAATCCAGTAAAGCCATTTTTACGAGGGAATCTCCGGCAAGCTGGTGCGTGTGCAGCGGGAATAATGATGTCAAATAAACGACGTACGCTCCGTATCAACCCTTGTGAGAGGCATCTGCGCCGCGTCTCTCCCTCGGACGGATCATTTTTTCCGCGGGGAGAGAGACAGGGAGCAGGGGCAAGCGAGAGAAAAAGATGCGAGGAATCATTTTAACACGCCTACGTAGGGTGCGCGTAGGGAAGCGTTCAAATGGAGTTATATGTTAACTTAATCCTGTAGACATACATGTATTTGCATCAAACGTTCATACTAAAAACATGTTCCACTTGATGTTTCAATCCGTCTTCCATATTACTTCTTTATAGATCAAATCTTCTCTTTTTTCAATGTCACGTTATACCCAGAAGGAAAATATCTTAATAATTAAACATATTTTAATAAAATGAGAATATCGAGATTTTATGGAGGTTAAAATAAATATTTTTAATGTTGCGTCTCAATTAAGTTGAAAGGGAAAGAAAGTTTAACAAATAATAATAACAATATAGCGAGTAATTGTAACTTATGACGATGATATATAAATGTTTAACAATTCAGATAACTATTTAATGTCACATCTCTTCGTAAGACGATACGATAACTATTTGTATTAACTTGTGTAACATTATCACGTTTCCCAGGCATTTTTAAACTCACACACCACGAATTGAGTTGCGGTAATATGGCAGATGCAATTGTTGCGGGCAGTTCTGGTGACTTATGGCTGTGACTTTTTGCGATGCTTTTTCTTCTAGCGCCATTTTCCTTTTTTTTTTGCGCCCGAGAAATGCGTTTATGTTATATCGGCGTGTTTTCCGATAGCTCTTTAGGGTAGCGGATAATTTATAGCCAACTATTGTCGATTAACACGCGCGTAACCAGGTCTCAGGGAAAGCCGAAAAAAAGGGCACGGGTCAGAATGAGAAAAAAGGGGTATACAAAAGGGCACGCGACACTCTTTCCTGAGGGGGTGGTGTACCCCGAGATAGGGAGGTGCGTGTGACATGTTACAACCCCATCTGATTCATCGGACTAATGACACATTTATTTGACGTTTGATTCAAAATCGCTACGGTCGCGTGCGACAAATTGTCACTGAAAGATGCGAGCAGATATCGATTTTTCGTTTATTGCATCGAAGGAAAATGTACTTTCTTTTCTAATTCAATCGTTCAACCGTTCAATTCGAAAGACACGTGTATTGCTAAATTCTTATTATTTTAAAAATAAAAAACACTTCTTAAAATCGTGTAAATCTTGACTAAAAAATTATTTCAGCATTCTTGACAGCCAGATATGTATGTTACACATCTAACACTCTAGTTGCATATCATATATTGTATCTAATACTAATATTTTAGAAAAGAAAGTTACTTAACTCTTTGGAATATTTGTAACAAAATGATTTATGTCGTTTCTGCAGTGATGGTAAGAACTGAATGTAACTCGGCCTTATCTAAATTCTTTTAATTTTAATTTAAAAAAAGTTATGCACTTAAAATTGACAGAAACGTGTAGCGAAGTAGATGACACGAACTCGTGATGAATGAACAAGTAGATTTATTTCGTAATCGATATATTTTAATGATGTCGAATTGTGAACGTCACGATGCAGCAAGAACATTGATTTCCGTTACTTTTTCCCATGCAACTGCCAACTGACTATCCGACCGCGGGGGGTGTTGCCAGTGGATCCCACCTGTTGACTTTCCGCAACGTGACTTTGCTACTCCTTCTACGCGGTAGATTAACATAATATTATACTTTCAACCGTTTTCATCAATTTTAAAGAAGCGACTGTTTGTGAATATGCGATATATTTAATTAATAAATAATCATGTTTCTTCGAGTTCTGTGTAAAAATTCTCACTGCAAAAATATCAAGAAAGTGAGTTATACTTTTGTATTTAGAATCCGTACTTTTGTACACTTAGCAAATTTTCTGCTTATCTATATTATCTTATACATATATAAATTATCTGTGCAGACTTTTTAGAGTTGAATTGAAAATTTACATATTTTGAAAAATAATTTTGAAGATTAATTCAGCATTTTTATATCCTTTTTGTTGTATTTAAATCGGTATTTTTTTTACCATATCCGAGTATATCAAAGACGATTCTTGTTTATTTTCTTATTTATTATTTGTTAATTCATTCTTTCAACGTTTTCGACCGTATTTTTCAACGCTGCAGGCTGTTTCGAGGGTGATAGAGGTCGACCACATCTCTCATTGTCTAAATTCACGGCGTGCCGCTACGAATTAGCCGTAGAGACTGTAGAGAGAGGAGCGATTAACGTACTAAGGGGGGTTAGCGTGGCATTGGGCGTAGTTGGTGGTACGGGGGTTGTGCCCGGTTCCCATGAAGGTCCGTTGGGGGCCATCACTCGACCATATGGTCGGAACAAGTGTAGCGGCAGATTTAAATAACCGTTGGAGGTCGGATATCATTCAAACTTGAGCCATCTTGTTTATATACTCGCGATACAAATTAAATTTTGAGTTTTCAAATTTCACTTTCTATAAATTGCTTCGCTAAATCTGTTTCTTTAATTACATCTATTTTTACATTTTTTAAATATTTGTACAAAAACAGACAATGTATGCTATGTTATAGATAGACGAATTTTTATGTCGAAATTGATTAGTACACATTTGCATGGCATATTTTATACTAGCGCTCATGTTAAGTTGCGTGTTCGATCATTGATAATCGCGCTGTGTCTCCTTCATGGGTTTCTGATTTTACCTGCCGTTGCGTTCTGATATTCGGGGGTGAAATGCCGCTGGGGGGCTGTCGAGAAACTCACCTGCGATTGGCTGGTCCTCAACGTCGCTTGTACCAATAGCAAGCGATTCTGGACACCCCCGTTTGCGTTTGCAGTTACTGGACGGTGTATCGCCAACTAACGAAAACATCATTGTGTCTATTGTCTTCGCGATCGCTTGTGTGTCGGATCGTACTCATTGAAAAGGAAGAAGTGACAGTGCAGTGAAGTAACTTGAATCGCGTAATCAAATCTGTTTGATTTTTAGAGCATATAATTCTGTTATAGAGAGGTAAATACACATTGTTATTGAACAATATTTGGCAGAGAGATCATTAACTGGACGATAAATATTTTGTAAACTTGTGACTATTTTATTTTGATTTAATTTTTAATTAATAAATGTTATTGTACTTACTTTAACAAATAAATTTTTAATGGAATAACTATTAAAAATCATCGTGTTAGTTTGAAATTAATTTATAATTAAGAAGCGACATGTGCGATTCTAATTGCCTAAATTCTGAGAATGGATATAATTATCGTGTTAAGCCATGCTTATAAATTAATTCCGCATCAAATTAATTAACAAAAATGAATCAATACAAACGTAAATTTGAATACGAAAATTATTTAACAACACAATTAAAAGCGTGTAATTACGCAAATATTATAATATCAGTTGAGTAATTTGGCGTGAACTTTGCGAGTTTATCGAAAATTATTTCCGCCATTTCTACACAGCCAGTTAAATTGTCATTGAATTTTATAGGAGGATCGAAGTTCTTCGTTTCATAGATTAGGCGATATTATCATTTAATTTAATAATTCACGAACTATCCACGATTCCACTTGTCACGCCACTCCTGTGGCCCTCGCGCGGTTCTGGATCACGTAATTCGCCCACACCATGACACGTCACGTATCATCGTTTGCAGAGGGTTGTAATTTATAGAGCTCTCACACACGCGCACACAAATCGCGAGAAAATTGCGAGTTTTACTCGGCTATCGCCGGCGTGCCCGGAACACTTGTGATCTGTATTGTTGTATTCGTCATTTACAGCCTCTCAGCACAGTGGAACTGTCGATGAGGACAAGGAGGACGAGGAAGGAGAAGAAATAAGGTGCACTGTCTGCGACAAACCGTTTCAAGATATTGAACTGTAAGTATTTATTGCCCTACGATTTTTTGTACAGTTTTTTGCTTTTTAAAACAAATTAGAAAATACAAGTAAACATAATTTTTTGTATCTTCCAAAAGTGTGCATTGAAAAACTACAACGAATGCATTTAAAAAGCGCAAAATGTTTAAATATTTTCAGAAAGTCTTATTTATTTAAAAAAAAATTATTTATGAAAGATTAAAAAATCTGTATTTTCATTTCACGTGAGGAGAAATATCGCGCATTAATAATATTAATCTTATTATTTATAATATTAAAATTGATATCAATAATGATATTAATATTCATTTAATATATTAACAAGTATACTAAATTTATGTTAAATTGAACAACAGTTGTTTTACCTTTTGTATACTTGCATGCATCCTGCAGAAATTCTGATGCCGCCCAGACCTTGCGGTGCCTTTATTACCTCATTTTCACGCATTTCGCTATCCGAAGATTATTATCGCTGACGCGACGACGCAAAGCGCGACTCATCAAGGATTTATAGCATATCATTGTATGCTTTTCAAATCAGATGAGCGACGATTACGTGCTTGGCAGAGCGATACGCCGGATCGAAATCGAAAGACAACGGCTGACGTTAAAGCGCTCGTTGGGTTCGTCGATTTTCATCGTCAATTATTAATTAATCGATGGAATTCAGAGAGTGGGTGCCACGTAATCGCCTTCAAATCTCGGAGTTGGTGATACGCGCTCGCGAGAGCCTTTTGTCACGCGAGCGGTTTCGAGAGTGCTCTTTTAGAGTCCTGAGCATTTTAAGACTCCTTGCACGACTGAATATGATGCTTAGTCAGCCTTCTTTCTGCCTTTAATTAGAGAATAATTAATTACGGCAAGTAAAATAATGCTAAGTGCTTATGTTGTTTTATAATATTTAAGTACGCTTAAAACTCTTTATTAGTTTTTGGAGTAAAGAATGTAATTTTGCCATTAAATACTTCATTATCTCATTAATTGCAAATTCAACCCAACATTTCAGTTAAATACTAATACCTTTCAGCTAACTGCAATATGTGGTCTTTTTATTAAGCGTTTTTGCTTCTACAAATAAAATTATACTAATGCTTTGTTAACTGCAATAATCGCGTCTAATTTTTCAAGAGTACATTACGACTAAAATGAATAGGTATGTCATTCTCTCTTCTCTCGTTAGCTTCTTTCTAGATGAGGTTGTATCGCTCTATTCTCCCTCGGTAACTTCTATTTGCAGTCAATCATATTTATTTTTCCAAATAATCCTAATTTTACATACATATAAAAAATTCCATTGTGAAATATAACTCAAGTGATGGATACATCAAAGTTTTGATTATAATTAATCGGTTCTCGTTTCTGTTCCTACTTCGATGATCTCTTCTCTCTCTCTCTTTCTCGGTCGACATTAAACGGCATTCCTCGGCGCGGCAGATTCACCTGTTGTGGGGCATTAAACCCTAGGTGGGATTCGTAATCGGGCGCGCTAGAGCCACCCCTTTATGCATCATCGAAGGCGTCGCGTGCTCGCAGCTCATCTGGCGCGGCGCACTGTCGTGGCACCATGAAGGCACTATCTCACCACGAATGGGTTTCACGCGGCGCGTATGTTCGGGGGTGTAAAATCAATGCTGCCGCACACCATGGCGCACCATCCCGCGTGACGATAACCCATGTGCCTACGCGTGACAATCCCCTTAGGACGGCTTTTCTTCGTGACGGCGTGTGTTCGTGCGCGAACAGCCGCCCTCTTCTTCATGGGCGTGCGACCGTTATTGCACGAGAGTCGACTCGCCGCTGTGCAGCCGAAGTCACTTAGTCATCATCCAAGACTGCGCCCGATGTAATCTTTGTCGGTGCAGGTCGGTTACCGTATCACGTCCTGCTTGCTCGATGCGGTGCTTTGATTAAACAGCATTAAGCCTCGTAGGTAGAAATATAAAGAGTAACGTATGGAGATATTTTTATATAGCAAAACGGAGTTACGTCGCCATATTCCGTCGAATACCTAATCGAATGAATCGTTGAAGAGATAAAGGAAAATGCTATCACACGCCTCCTTCGGAAATGTACAGATTATGCGCGATCTTCAGTTTATCTTCACTCTTGTAAACATCTGCTGGTCTTAATTTTTTAATTTCTTTTCTCTACGCATCTTTCCGATTTAATTCGTTTATTATATCGCAGTGAGTGAGATATTTGCATTTTCAGATTGGACAGCCACCTGGTGACCTGTCACAGATACCCAGCGGAGCAACACCGTTGCGACAGCTGTCCCCGTGCTTACGCCTGGCGGCCACTTCTGGTACGGCATCGCGCCATCGTTCACGGTGATCTCAGAAACTATCCTTGCGAAAATTGTCCCAAGGTAAGCTTCAAATTCGCGCACCACTCGTCGAAACCAGACAATTCCTCTCGAACCAGTAGCATCTTCTAGTATCGCTAAAAGTCGAACGTCCGGCAGGTCTTCACGGACCCATCAAACCTACAACGCCATATCAGAACGCATCACGTGGGCGCGAGGAGCCACGCATGCACGGAATGCGGCAAGACCTTCGCGACCAGTTCCGGCCTGAAACAGCACACCCACATTCACAGTAGCGTGAAACCCTTCCAGTGCGAGGTCTGTTTTAAGGCGTACACGCAGTTCTCCAATTTATGTCGGCACAAGCGCATGCACGCTGACTGTCGCATGCAGATCAAATGCGTTAAATGCGGACAATCCTTCAGCACGGTAACATCGTTATCGAAACATAAGCGATTTTGCGACTCCACGACTCCGACTGGTCCGCCTGGAGTCATGCCTCAATTACCGACGCCAGCGACGAGCCCCTTCCTGGTGTATCCACGACCTCCCGTGAGCTTACCAGGCGGTTTACCCTTTTATCCACCTAGTCTGATGGGTCCTTATCCAGCCATTTTCCCAAATGCCCCGAATTTTCTCAACACTCCTCTGCTTTTCCCGCCGAAAATCGAAGAGATCGAGAAGAGGAGCGACAGTCCCAAGAAGGAGCGTTTTACTCCTCCGAAAGTATTGTCGCAACACAATAAGGTTTCTCCCTCCGCGGCGGAGGAAGCCACTTCTACGTTTAGGCCGTCTCCGGCTAGACCTCCCGTTCAACCGACGCCGGAGAGCGACGACGATCATTCAAAGAGAAGAGAGGCGGCCAGAAGCAACGAACGAAAAATCAAAACGGAGAACACTTCGAAGGAGGAGACGACCGAGCAGCCGTTGGATCTAAGGGTGCAGACCAAGAAACAGGACACTATTTCAAGAGCTGCAAACAGGAAGAGCCGCACTCCGTCGCCGTCCCCAGTGCCGATGGAGGAAACGCCCGCACCTCCCGACCCTCCGAAAACGGAGGAGGACGCGGCCGTTCCACCGCTGATGGAGCTCGAGTCCAAGGATGTCCAGGGAAGTAGCCCGCACCTGAGGACCAGTCTGCCACTCGAACAACCGCCGACCAATACGCCGCCCCACATGGCTTATCCCAGACCGATACACCCGATGTTCCTCGAAACGATGTATCGCGGCCCAACGGGAACCTTCCCGGGATTCCCCGGCGCACCGCCACCCCCGGGAGGGGCTACCCCGGAATCCAGGCTGATACCTCCACTCCCGCCCTTCGCCCCACCGCGCGGTCTTCCTTTTTTAGGCTCGCTTATGAACGGGCTCAGCGGCGCTAGGCCAGGAGGAGGATTCGATTTGCTTGCCCGGCCGCCGCTCAGTGCGTTCCCCGGTGTGAAGCCGTTCCAAGAAACCGTAATGTCGCCGCATCACCACCACCACCACCACCACCATCATCACGTCCACGGCAAGATGAAGGATCGGTACTCCTGTAAATTTTGCGGCAAGGTGTTCCCGCGCTCGGCCAATCTGACGAGGCATCTGAGAACTCACACCGGCGAGCAGCCGTACAAGTGCAAGTACTGCGAGAGGTCCTTCAGTATCTCAAGCAATCTGCAGAGACACGTGAGGAATATCCACGACAAGCAGCGCCCGTTCAAGTGTCCGCTCTGCGAGAGGTGTTTCGGGCAGCAGACTAACCTGGACAGACATCTGAAGAAGCACGAGGCCGACGACGGTAGCGGAGTGGTGTCGGTCGCCGATTCCCCTGGAAGTAGCAACGAGAACGAGCGGGAGGACACCTACTTCGACGAGATCAGGTCCTTCATGGGCAAGGTCACTTACGGCGGTGAGAGCGGCTACGGGCTGCCGCATCACCCAGCCTATATTCCCAGTCGCCTGCACGAGATCAACGAGTCCAAGATGGAGGTCGAGTATGACGAGGACGAGGACAGCGAGGAAGGCGCGTCCCCTTTGGAGGAGACCGACGGACTATCGCCGATCGAGGCCAAGGAATCCCCGTCGCCCTCGCAGTACGACCTGAAGCTGAGGGAGAAGCAGGAACTGCTCAATAACAATACCGCGGAGCCGGTAATCGAGATTTCGACATAGCCCAGAGGTCAGTCTGGGTGATCCGCGTGATCGCTTCGAAGGACGGGGAGAACTCGTCGTTCATGTACAGAACTATCGCGGGATATACGCTCGTCTTAGAACTCTCGATCGTGACGGCGTTACTTCGGGAATAACGTCGATGCAGGATTATTTAGCTTAGAACGGTCCGCGTACTTAGACTGTGCTGAATATCAACCATTTGCTTCTACGAGGCGAGCGATCCTCGAGTATAATCGGGTTATTCTCCGTGATCATATCGTGACGATACCGTAAATCCATGGAAGAGACAACCTATAATCATAATTATATAATTACACATTGATATATCCGTACCGGAATTTTTCAGAAAGAACTTAGCAAACCCTATTATACTTGTAAAACAGGTGCTCTGTAAAGAAAAAAACAAACGCGTAAAGACTCGACGAACATAACGAAGATTCTTCTTATGCGATCCTTTTTTTACACTTCACGTTTGTTTGCACTGGAGAAGCGTATTGTAAAGATCAACGAATGGACCATTTAGCCTCCTACTTACACACGCATATCACAAGATCTTCTATAGTCTAGTTCTATAGTTTCTACAGACTCGTTATGTAAACGCGCACGAAATTCAATGTTATCCCCATTCCGCCCCTCTTCGTCCTTAGCATTGATTAGACGAAGCGCGTATCTTTGTAATATTATTTATTGCTATTATTAATAAAGTTAATTTAATTGTTATTACTAAATCGTCGCTCGGTAAAGGGAACGTACGTCATAAGCGAGAACGATCAAAGCGATCTGCGAGAGCTCTGCGATTTGCGCTTTGTTGTATAAATGAGTTGCGATTGATCCACCTCGATGTTTCTAAATTCTAAGCATATCTGTGTGCGCGCGCTATTTTTCATTGGTTTGTTTTTGAACGACAGTGTTAGTTGCATCGCGTTCAGAACGCAGGCGCCCTTCGAGAGTTCGAAATTAGATTACCGTAAAATTCCTAATGTAAAGTGACTATAATCGCTTCAATCAGTTCGAATCTTGAACATTTTCCCCGAGATTGTTGGATTTTTTAGAATATAGTTGAACGAAATGATATATTACAGGAAGAAAAATTCCACCCGCCGGTTGCAGGATTTAAGAGCCTGGAATCTGCGAAATAAGAAAGGTACATTTTCGCATCGTGTTCGTGTATCGAAATTGATGTATGTTAAATCCGCGAAGCCAAAGCGACGAAGAGAAAAATTTAACGCGACGTGCGTAACCACCTACTATGCGCGCGCGAGTGTGTATAATTAAATAATTAGAAGGCAACAAAAAATCCTTACGAAAAATTGTACAAATTTTCACAATTAGGTGATAAAACATTTGTAAAGATAAACGAAAGAAGTTTCAGCGCGCGATTTTTATTAATATACATATAAATACGATTCTAGAGCGGTCCTCTCTCTTGCGGTAGGCAAGACAGAAGAGTCATGTAAGCTAAACGAAAACGTTCCTCGCGTTTCACTCATCTAGTAGAAATAATTAAAAGTGAGTGTCCCTAATGACGTGTCATCAATGAAGCGAGGAAATTAATAATGATGAGAGATCTATAAGCATAGTATACGCGTATACATGTGTACCAAGTACGCTCGCGATTAATAAAAAATGAAACAAAGAATATATCGTTCGTTTGTAATCACCGAGTTGAGGCTTGTTTTTTCACATAAAGTTTTACGAACACACGTTCTACATATCTCTGTTTCTCTCTCTCTCTTTTTTCTCTTCTCTCTCTCTCTCTCTCTCTCTCTCATTAGACGATAATAAACTTATGAAATGATTAAGCAAATATATTGAACGAATTACTTAAGGAAAACTATAATATGACGCTGTCTATCTATACATACTGTATAAAGGCATCCTGTAACTTCATTATGATTACTATTAAAATATTACACTTCAAGTTGGTTACCTAAGCGATAATGCCACCTATCAATTTTCCTTTGCCTTGTATTCCTTTAATAAGATTTGATAAATGTTATTATTCTGTGCACTGCCCACATAGATTTAGGTAAAAATGAACAATACATTATAAACAAATACAATATGAAGTAGACAAGGATGTTATGTTTTTGCTGAATAATTACACAGTAGACTCTAGCGCAAAGAAAAGATAAACTTAAATTCAAGACTTTACTTTCGAGTTAAAATATACTTTTGTGACGAGCAAGCTATCTTTTAACGATTAAGAAAATGTTAGGTGCGACTAAATCATAAATTATTCTGCGCTGTCGTTATTTTTATTTCATGAGTAAGCAATTACTAGCAAAATAAAAATCATGAAACTAAAAATAAAAATTTATGCATATTTTACGTTTAATTAAGCAATTTCAAGATTTGCGAACATCGATTTAACTATCCATTTTATTTCTACCAAAGTATCACGTATTTTCACGATTAGAAGAATCAAATGCAACGTGATGTCTCTTCAGTGCTCGCTCTCTATTGACTTGTGCTGCGCTCTGGTACTGGATACTTCGAGATAAACAACTCGATATTTTAAACGGTTACAAATAAATTAATAATAAAATTCACCAAAATTATCTATCGGCGCAACAATATTCACCCGACCTATACGCTCTCATTAAAACAGTGAAAAAAATTGCAAAATGCAAAGCGGCTTCTCTTTTATCGACGATAAATAAGATCTGCTCTAAAGGCAAGGTACGCTGCAGCAGTAGATGTCCATTCAACCTTAAGACGCTAGATTACGCTTTATCTCGCGATTCATATTGTTCAGCTACAATCGTTCTTATAAAAAAGAAAGTGCACTTATATAATTGTTAGAGGAAAATGTTGACAGATCGTGAATCCTACTAATAAATCTCTGTGATAAACGTTATAAGAAAAATGCTTACGAGCCTTATTGATAATTTAAAATTATTGATAATAATACGCTCAGTTTACGAAATAAAAAATAAACGTTATAAAATGCAGAGAAACTCGATTAGTCTTCGACGATCGGGCGACTTAATTGATGGACGACCTGGCGTTGAATTAACGAAGGTTGAACTTTGCCTGTACTATACGATCGTTTGAATCGATCCTCGACGCCCACTCGATCCGACGTATTATCGTACTCCATTCGATCCCATTCAAGTCTGTCTGACTGAACAACAATGTTCGCACATACATTACACAAGCTCTTATCGTTGAATCGCCAAAGAAAACAAGTAAATGTCGCTGCGAGTAATTTGATGGTATAACTGTTATCGCTCTAATAACGTCGTTTACTGAATTGCATCATAAATAAGACGCGCAAATTACTTCTCTATTTACAATTAATATTGTAAATTGACAAATTCATCAATACGTAGTCATTTTCTTTAAGTTTGTGTAAAACTTTCGCACGTTTTATCTTTCTTTCTAAATAAAATCGACTTGTTATATTTTATATCGTCGATATGTAATTAGGTATTATTATCTTTTTGCATTCTCGCGCTGCATTCACGGATCTCTGCCGTACGTAAGTGCCAAGGTGATAACATTGTTACGTAAAGATATCGCGGAAGAAACTCGGATAACGCACTCTCTTTTATATTTTTTCACTTTGGTAAAATAAAAAGTCAAATTGATACTCTCGCCATGCTGCTTAATAATACTATTTAAGCTACGAATTAATTTCTTCAAAGTTGACCACAGAGCGTTGCGTCAAAGTAAGCATCATGTTGCAATTTAAAAAAATTTCAATGTGCGATGCAAACGTCAATACAGTTGCAGAAACGAACTGACCAGCTCTGTCGAAAAAAGTTGACGAAATTTTATCACACTTCGTTACAATCTTGTCAAATATTTACTCATTGCCAGTAATTAGTGAAAAATATTATATATCGCTTTACGTGTTAATTAGTCGTGCGGTCTGATTGACTGCAAAAAAGGCATCTTCATCAACAGAGTTGTAAAAAGTTAATATTCACGCCATATAAGTCATCGCGACTTGAAGCCAACATTTTTCTGCCGCGCTAATGAAAGTTACGGACGAGATCGTCAAGAGGTGTGAGTAGAGAAAAAAAAAATTTGTAGAAATACCGGCTAAGAACTCGAAGTAATTGGACCATAAATTTGGTGTCGTTAGGAAAATATAAAAATGTTAAAATAGAGGTGCTTATATAATTATATTATAATAAAAAATTTTTAATATAATTATACAATTTATAATATAATATATTTACAACAAAATTCAATATAGGTATAGTAGCGGTAAAATTTAGTATCCGATTGTACAGGACGCTGGAACACGTAAAAGATCAATCGTGTTCCTATCTTCTTCGTGCTCTCTAAAAGTCAATCAGTGGATTATCACTGAAAACAGTGAATATTCACCGATTCACAGTTGTAATGCACTGAGTGACTTTTAGAGAGTAAGAGCGAAAGGTAACGACTGGTCCAGCAAGGCACTCGCTCTCGGATAAAAAGATCGCCAGTCGACGGTACCGGAAATATCGATGGCACCTCCAAGAATTTGGTAGCGCGAATCGACACGATCGATACGATCGCTTGAATGGAAGCTGGGGTGCGAGTAGAGGAAAGGAAACGACGGAAAGGGGAGGAAGGCGCGAGAGAGGATTTCTTTGCGTTGCGAAAAGGAGCCGGACGGCTCTCGTTTGTAGCTCAAGAACGGAGATAGGGAGTATCGGCGATCGCTCCGAGCCACAAAAGAGTGGCCCGAGACAAGCGCGAGCGAGTCCACGACGGCATCGATGAGGCAATAATTCTACGCGCCAACGAACATTATTGCGAACGTGACGTTGACAAAAACGGCCGAGCTAATCACGAAATTCCACGCGGTCTCCGCTCTCGGAGTGGACCCGCGCGTTTAGAAAGTGAAAAAAAATCATCGTACCGGGTCGATTGATCGACCGGCGGTACAGATCGATAATACGTCACTAACAATGCTGCCCCGCTTATCTGTTATCTATGACTTTTGATGGGAGCTTTAATTAAAGTCGCGACCGCGAAGCTCTTCTTGTTCCAGTTGCGCAAACCAGTTGCGATTCCTTCTACGATGAGGATTCGAATCTGACCATTTTAATTGCATGTGACAGAGCTGATTGGACGGGGCGAATCTTCGATTTGCAAAATCGAATTGCTCCCTGTCTTTAAGATAGCAGACTTTTCAAGCAGCTGTGACGTCTCGGTAAAGTGAAGAAAATGAAGGTAGTCCGGCGACGCAGCGTGCGACTGATTTATTTTCGGTATTCGCGGATTCCGAGGGAACCGTAGCCACGGGCTTGTATTCGTCGCGGATTAAATGAGTTTTCGTGGCCGCGCCGATCGCGGATCCCGTCTTGCTTGGTATATCAGACTCTCCTTTTAGGACACCAGCCGACCGGCTATATCGAGTCTTGCTCGCTCGTTTTTCTTATTTCTCATCTCGGCACGTCGCGCGTCTCCTTTCATTTTAACGCATGATCGCACACCCGATCTGACCGGCGCAACACACCCACCGATCTCTAATCCCGCCGTATGTACGCAGAGACGGCCGGTCGGGCTCGTAGATCGTGAAATAGAAAACGAATAGCCCGGTTAAAAGAGCGACAGAGAGAAAGAGAGAAAGAGAGAGAGAAAGATGCACGGTTATCCGTTTACGAATAATTTCCCGGCCGATAAATTATGCGCTCGGGGACGAAATTATTTTCACCCGATGAATAACGGAATGTAAGTAATGGCGTAATAACACTAAATTTACGGTTTGCCTGCCAAAAAATCCACTTAACTTCAATACATCATTATCGCGGTAATCAGTTTCCACGTATTTCACGCTGCTCGAGGACTCTAATAAGCTCGTGCCCGTCTCCAACGCGAAGCTATGCGAAGGATGCCGTCGGATATCCTTGAATATTTGCGCGATATTTTATTAACTACCTGGAGATGCTCGCGCAATCGTGCGTTTTACATATATGATTGTCACAAAAAGCTGTCACGATCAACATCTTCTTCTGCGTAGTTTTATTATATAATTTACTCGATCGCCGCCACCTACAACAATTTTCCGGACATAAAACAAAGCGGCGACTTCTGAGAGCGCGGCGGGATAATAACGTTATTTAAAATAAATTTGCATAATTGCTTTCTTAACTTATTTTACACTTTTGATATATGTGTATTCATGCAATCTCTTCTGTGCATTGAAACTATTAAACATTTTAGATTTTACAGAATTTTGAGAGAATCGCAGTTCGCATAGAGAATCGGTTATCAATTCGACGCGTTTAAACAAAAATTTAGAAATTTCTTTCGCGAACTTGAATCTACGGGACTTTAAACGACTTACAGGGTCGCCTGCCGCAAAATACAGCATTGTCGTAATTATTGAGCGACGCAATCGTCCAATTGCGTGAAATAAGTATTTCTTAAATCTTATATTTATTGTTGGAAACAAGATCTACATTATATAATTACTTTGTGCACAATCTTTATATAAGGAAAAAGAATCTCGATCAATTTCTTGTTTTGTCCAGCGTCTGTGAAAGATAATGAATCGCGTGTCGACCATACGATGGTATCATGCGACCACCTGGACATACATGCAGGAAGGACATTCATATCCAGGAAGGCAAGCTTGAAAGACTCTCTCTCTCTCTTTCTCTCAAGACGCCTAGGCAAATCGGTTTGCATTACTTTCACTGTTCGGCGAAGTTCAGTCGGACTTGCCAGGACAGCCTTTCGTTCTTATCGTTCTCGTTTTCATCGCTGGATTTTCCTTACAAAATAAAAAAAGTAGGAAGAGAGGAAAATCGATTAACATCGGCAGGCGTGGAATATTCGCATCGCGATTGCCCGACGACTCTCCATTAATTCAGCGTTACGGCGAAAAAGAATCAGGTATGTGATTAAGAGCCGCCAGAAAAAGATGTTCGGCTGAGTTGCTGACTCAGCCAATTTGTTAAACGCTGTAGCGAGCGACTAACGAATT